TCTTCTCTGGACCATTTCCACTTACTTGTCATTCCTTTGAGATGTTGACTCAGACTTAACATCATGTGCCATCTTGGTATGAGCAATGCAAACCAGACTGGAGCTAATGAGGTGAAATGAAATCAGAATAAATGCGAGGTTCTTCATCGGATGTTGTTGCTTTGCTTGGTGGAGTCAGTCCATAACAACCCTTTTTCCCCAGCTGAGTTCTGAACTGATTGAGACAGGGAAGCAAGGCAGGTGGGGATGGAGACCTCAGCTTTATTACCAACCGAAGCACTGGAGAAAGTGTCTTGGATGTGTAGTGTTCATGGTGCACCCACTCAAGACAGGGTGGAAAAGTCTCAAGCCTCACCCATAGGGAAGGGCTTGGGTTGAACTGCTACACCATCCCAGCCCAAGAGCGCAGGCATTTTGCCAGCTGGGAGATCCTGAGGAAGAGCAGAAAGCTTCCCTATGACACTCTGACCTCTTGAGTTCTCTGGTCCACTTCTCGTCCTGACTACTCTGAGGTGGTGAGTTTGTGAATTGCTCTGAATTGTCCTTTTGACTCTTCTCCTAGAGAGACAAGAGACCTTTGCATTGACCGAAACATTCTTGTCCTGTTCTGTCAAACCCAGCAAATACTTTGCTCCACCTTTGCAGGGGAGGAGAGAGCCGCCAGGAGTGTCACACTGATAGATATCCCTCCATATTGAAGGAAGCATAGGAATTGGGGAAGAAGTGTTCCCCCTACTACTAGGCTCTGAAAACCAGCTCTCTGGATGGAGGATGCTCTCTCAAAACTGCAGCTTGTATGACAGAGGTCCAGGAAGGTGTGACTGAAAACTTAAATGGAGGCAATGGTGAGCTGTTTGCCCACAACCTCCTCCCCCAACCATTCCACACCCTGCAACAGAAACACATACACAGGGGCACCTGGGTGGCTCAGTCGGTTGGGCGTCTGACTCTTGGTTTCACCTCAGGTAGTGATCTCATGGGTTGTGAGGTGGAGCCCTGCGTCAGGCTCTGTGCTCAGTGGGGAGTCTGCTTCATTCTCTCCCTCTGCCCCTCCCCCACTTGTTCTCTCTCTCTGTCTCTCTGTTTCTCTCCCTCTCTCAAATAAATAAATAAATCTTTAAAAAAAGAGAAACACATACACAAAACTTCACTCTTAAGATGCACAATATCTAAATGAAAGTATTAGACCACTCACGGACTCTGGGTCCTTGAACAAGCAGCTTCACCTTTCTGAGGTTATTGTCCTTATATGTAATGCAGGAATCATGACTGGTACCTGTTCTCAGGATTAAATAAGATTATGATATATGCGTGCTGCATGGCACATAGTAGATGCTTCATGAAATATAATGATTTTTCCCTTTTCCTCATCTTGTCCTGTCTAATAATCTTCTTGGCAAAGGAGACACAAACAAAAGAGGAGTTTGGTAGTTCTGCCTCCTCTGCTATTCATGAATGCCAGCTCCCTGGCCTCATTCAGTGGTGTCCTGCCCCTTTGTTCATTTGTATTATGACCTTTCATTGACTGCCTAGTCCTCTTTCTGTGGTTAACTGGCTTCTGCAGTCCTGTCTAATCTGGGTGTTTGTTTGTTTTTTTTAAGATTTTATTCATTTATTTGAGAGAGAGAGCATGAGCAGGGGGAGGGACAGAGGGAGAGGGAGAAGCAAGCTCCCCACTGAGCAGGGAGCCCGGAGCAGGACTCGATCCCAGGACCCTGGGATCATGACTTGAGCCGAAGGCAGATGCTCAACCGACTGAACCACCCAGGCGTCCCGAGACAGAACAGTCTTAAAAATAAATTATGTTCAGAATTATGAATGGAGCTAACCGCAGGGAAGGGGTGAATACAGTGGTGATGGAAGATTGAGGTTGGACGGCGAGAAGTGACATGGAAGCAGGTGTCTGAAGGATGGCAAGGGGAAGAGCTATGTGATGAACTGAATGAAGAAATGAACGTGTGACGATGGAACTGGCAAGAACCTTCCCCTCTGCCCAGGAGTCAGTGCCAGGCTCAGTCGGTTGAGTGTCCAACCCTTGGTTTTGGTTCAAGTCTTGATCTGAGGGTTGTGAGATCCAGCCCCATGTCGGGCTCCGTGCTCAGTTCAGAGTCTGCTTGGGAGTCTCTCCCTCTGCCTCTGGTGTACTCTCGCTCTCAAATAAATAAATAAATCTTAAAAAAAAAACACCCCAAAACCTTAGAGGGCTGGGTTCCCTTTCTTTAGAAGAAGAAATGGAGCCTCAGGAAAGGCTAGGAAGTGGCAGAGTCAGGATTTGAACTCAGTTCCATGGGGCTTTACAACTCACCATCCTAATATTGTGCACCTCCTGCCCCATCAGAGGGTGCGGAGCATCCTTACCTAGACTTCTGTGCCATGGCAGCTTTTGGCCTTTCCTCGGGAGCCCCAGGACTGAGCAGCTGAGAAGCCAAGTGGGCTGCCACCAGAAGAAGACTTGCTTCATTTTCAGTGGATGTGCCCACATCAGGAAACCCACAAGGGTGTTTGGCTCCAGCCCCAGTGTGGGAGCCCTGAAGAAGTGCCAAGGTCCACAGCCAAGAGCCATAACCTGTCCTGCACCCTCACCTAGAAAGCTATCCAATACCTGAGCTAGCCTGACTGAATCCTCCCGGGGTGGTGACGCCATGAGGCCCAGGAGAGGTCCCCGCTCCCGGGATGGGTGTGCACACAGCCGACAGGAGGGAACGGGGTGTGTGGAAGGAGGAAGACCTCAGGTCTAGCCAAGGGAATTCCAAATCCTCACCCCAATGCTTCCTGGCCTGGAGCCAGCAACATCTCCCCACCTCAGGTGTCCATGTGGCTGGGAGGGCAGACAAGATGTGCCATTGCCCCACATAAGACCCCTGTAAGGTCTTTGTTGTCACCCCACACAGTTCCACTGTACGGTAAGGTCCACAAGTCATTGCCTCCCACCTGGTCTCCCTCGGACCTGGAGACAGCCCTGAGCCTAGGAGGGCTGCCTTTGTAACTACCCTGGCCAAGGGCAGATGAGCAATTCTCATTTCCCCAACTTCCTGTCCAAAATTCTCTCTACCTTTGTCCCTGACAGACTGCTGGGTACATTTCCTCCAAAGTCCAGCCTCCCCCACACCCCCTGTAAGTGGAGTCTTGCCCTCCTCCTGGCCCCTCAGCCCATGCTAACTTCTGCCATATCTGGGGACTAGTATATATTCCACTGGGCAATTTCTTCTACTCCTGAAGTTCTTCCTTCCCTGTTTAAAAAGCATGAATTGGGCACGTGGGTAGCTCCATCAGTTAAACATCCGACTCTAGATTTCGGCTCAGGTCATGATCTCAGGTTTCTGGGATCCAGCCTGGCATTGGGCTCCCCGCTCAGTGGGGAGTCTGCTTAGGGATTCTCTCTTGCTCTCCCTCTGCCCCTCCCCCTGCTCCTTCTATAAATAAATAAATAAATAAATAAATAAATAAATAAATAAATAAATAAATAAAATCTTAAAAAATAAAAAGCATGCATTGCCAGCATTTATGAGACTCCTTCTGGTGTGCCAGGCAGGGTGAGCTAAGTGCTTTACCTTGGTATTTTTATTATTTTACAGCTGATCAGGGGTCTAGAGAAGTAGACCCTCCTGACTTCCTAGTTAGTAAGTGGCAGGGCTCAGGTTAGATTTGAATACAGGTAATCTGACCTCCAAGTGAGAGCTTTTCCTGTCTCTCCAGATATGCTAATACCTGGTCTTTATCAGAATTCTGCCCAGCACACGTAAGATGTGCCATAAGCCCAGCGGCTGTGCCCTTTGGGACTGTCAGTGTTATCACTGGTGGTCAATTAAGTGTCAAGGCTCCAGAGTGTGGCTCTTGAGCCAGTGGGTCATGGGCGTGGTCAGGATGCACCTGCTCTTTCATAAGGAACGTACCCTCTCCTAGCTGCAGTTTTCCTCTGTAAATGAGCATACTGATCCCTTAAGTGTTTCATGAGGTTCAAACAAGCCTAAAGCAGGGAAGGGCTAGTTCATAACGTACTGACTGCGTTTTATTTTTTGCCTAAAGCAGGCAGTCGAGTGGCTCAGAGCCACTGAAACAAGGCTGCTTGCCTCCACTGCTGTGTGATCTTGAGCAAGTCTCTGGGTTTTTTTTTTTTTTTTTAAGATTTTATTTATTTGTTTGAGAGAGAAAGAGGGAGTGAGCACAAGGGGAGGGGCAGAGGGAGAAGCAGACTCCCCGCCAAGCAGGAAGCCCAATGCAGGGCTCGATCCCAGGACCCCGGGATCATGACCCGAGCTGAAAGCAGACACCCAACCAACTGAGCCACCCAGGCGCCCCTTGAGCAAGTCTCTGACCTCTCTGTGCCTCAGTGTCCTCCCTTGTAAAATCACTACAAAGAGAGAACCTTCCTCATAAAGACGCTGTATTCGAAGAGACGGGGCATATTGACTGCTGAGTCCCAATGCCTGGAGCAGAGCATGGCAGAGAATAGTCTCAAAAAAGAGAATGAATGAATAAGTAGCGGAACGTGGCCCTTGGCATAAATAAGTACCAGTGGGTATTGACCATTATAATTGTATTATCATTGTTCTTATCTCTGCCTGGCATACCTCCTTTCTGGCAAGACCAGCACACTTGTCATCTGCCAAGAATCTCTTCCTCTGTATTCTATCTTCCCTCGCTATCCAACACTTCACCCTGACGCAGGTGGGAGATGGCGCGCAGACACAAACAAAATCAGAGTGGTCTTCCCCTTAGATCTTCCAAACCTCACTGGTTGCTTGCATTTACACACGCATGCACACACACACACACACACACACACACCCGGTCCCCATCCCCCGCAACCCACCCGACCCCCACCTCAGGTCCGAAAAAGAAATTGACAGTCACGCCCGGGCTCCTAAAGCAGAAGACGTTTCCCGTGAGCTAAAGGTTTTGTTATTCAGTGTTCAGATTGAATTCTGTCAATTATTATCCAACTAGTTATCTCACCAGAGGTCATGAAAAAATAACCTGTGTGCGTTTGTTGTGGGTGAGTATGTTTATGGGTCATGTGTGCAGGTGGCTTTGGGGGAGCTATTGAATAGGAAGTGCTCTGGTATTTATATGAAACTGCTCACCGGTTTCAAGGACCCACCAGCAAAAACGTGCCTGTATGAGTGTGCTTAATCCCTGCTCATCCGAAGTGTGCCAGAGCCACTTTCTCCCCCTCCCTTCTTGCCTCTCTGTACATATAACCCAGGCTGCTGCACCCAGCCTTTGCCCGCTTGTCTCGCTGGTCCTGAGCACTCAAAGGTGCAGCACGTCTCTGAGAATGAGCACCTTCTCTGAGACAGCGTGGCTCTGCCTGGCTGTCACCGTAGTGCTAGCAGGAATAGCCCTTTGCAGTCTCAAGAAGAGCCCAGGGCAGGCCGGCAGAAAGGTGGTCTGCCTGGCGGGTCTCTGGGGAGGGGCTTACCTGCTGCTCAGCCTGCCCCTCTCCTGGAGCTTGATCCTCTGCCTCCTGTCCTGCTTCCTCCTGTATACTTACCTCTCTGGTCAAGAGCTGTTACCTGTGGATCAAAAGGCGGTGCTAATCACAGGTAAGTGGACGGTACTGCAGTTCTCACTCAGGGCAGAACCTAGCACGGGCTTTGGGGTAGCGGGAATTTTCAAATTAGGTTTAAAGATAAAATACCTGGCATGGAGTAAATGAAAGCACATCCCCGAGTGTCTTTCACTGCGGTGTTTTGGTTTGCTTTTTTTCACCAGATGAACTGGAAGGGGCTGGAGATAAGAGGGACTGACGAGGGGAAGGGCACCCAAGCCATGATTTTGTTCATTTCCCAGGATAAAGAAGAATAAGCAAACCTCTGGTATTTCATGTGTTTAGTTGGACCCAGGAAAACCACATAGGTTTCTTTAGGCTTAAATGGAATTTTGCTCTGAGGTTAATGTTTGGCTGTGTTCTAGGCTTAGGCTCTTCTTATTCCTTAGATGTGCAAGAAAGCTTGCAAAATCAGCCTCTCCTTGTACTTCGCTGTATTTTTGAAATATCGAAGGGACGCTTACCCAGGTTGGAAATTTTGCAGTTTGCCTGGCTGCGGTCACAAAACCGTGCCTCATCTGAACCTTTTGTCTTCAAATCTGTCATTAGACCGCTAATGTTTCTTAATTGAATCAAGTTGGCAGTATGTCTGGAAGGCAGTTGCTCATTAGCTCAGCAACCAGCCTTTTTCTTCTTTTGTGTTTTTTTTTCCACTGCAAGTGTGAGGCCAAATTAAATTCCTGTGTGTTGTAAAACTGGTTTGTTTGGTTGTGAAGTCTGAGCTTGGATGGGGCTTTAATTAGGATTACCCACCAATATCCTAACCCAGAAAGTCCTGCCCAGGTGAGGCATCCTGTGCAGAAGCATTTGCCCCGAGGTCATCACCCCACACTGGGTGATGTGTGCAGGTGGCTTTGACCTACTGGGATGAAGGCAAACTTAGGGTGTGGATGGAAGCAAATCAGGGCTCTTCTCATTGCACTGAGAAATGGACTGTCAAGTAACCTGTCCATTTTGCCTTTGACGTTAACCCGATAGTGAAATTCTCTCTTAAGATAAAATGCAGGTTGGCATTTTATACCGTCTTTTGAATCTCTCCCCTCCTTTTCGTTCCACTGCCACTTATTGGAGTTTTGGAATGCTATGGAAAACAAGCTTTTTCAATTGGGGGGGGGTGGGGGACAACCCAAACAGTTCAAAGGTAGAAAATATAGTTGATCAACAGGATGTTTATCTAATGAATGTCTAGTATTGTCTGGGATCATGCATCTAGAAGACAGGGTAGGTTTTCCACTTTTTCACTAGAATCCTTATGGGGGGGCTGAGTGAAAAGCTGTAATAGCAGTCTAAAATCCTCTGTTCTATGTGTACCATGTGTGTATCCGTGATCTTCAGAATAATTGCAGGTTTTTATTTATTGTACTTTCCCACTTGCCTGAAAGAAGATGGAACAATTAAGCATGTTAAAAAAAATACGTAACAGTCATACTGTGCTTGATGCTAATGGGACATGATCTCTTGGAGGTCCAAATAGTCCTGGAAAATCAATTTCAGGGAGCAGTACTTCTTAGGCTAATAAGCAAAAATACCAAACCTTGGGATAAACTCTGGCAAACTTCAAGATGACTGAGAAAACAGGAGCCCTGATTTGCTTCCATCTTGTCTTGTATATTTATCTTGTCAGTGTACTGTATCCTCTGTTTTTGAAGATGTAGGCATGCAGAAACCCACAAAATACACACCCAAGTCAGTTAGCCTACATCAGCCATTGAAATGTCCTGACTTGTGTTTTGTTGTGTGTAAAATGACGGATTCAATTAGGAACTCAAGCCCAGTGACTAATCCCTCCATGAAATGCTTAGCAATTAGACAGCTTGGAATTAAGAAAGGAGCTACATCCATTTAAGGATGACTGCAATGTCCCCTTAAGGTTCTAAGTCATTTTCGTGAGATATGCCACAGTTTCAGTATAATTCTAGAGGTTTCCAGACCTTTCTACTAAATGGAGAAATGTAAAATGAATCCATCTAGTTAGAGCAGAACTCATTAACAAATAAGGCACCCTTACTTGGAATAATAATCTTTGTTTCAGGTCGGCTTATCTTATAAACGGGTACTCATTTTAGGGTGGTTGAAGACCTGTGGTGGTGTACATCAAAAGCCATACATTTTATTCCTTTATCTGATAATTCAAGATTTGGAGACTTCTCTTAAAGAAATAATCTGAAGTACGGGAAAAGGGTAGACGCAAACAACATGGCATATTCACAATGTTGTTCAGTGCATCATTTACAATCATGAAATATCAAAAGCGATTAAAATGGTGACAGGTTACCATCTATCCTCTGGGTGTAACAACGGACGAGAATTAAAGATGACAACCACAGGACTGTGTCACAAAATGGAAAGATGGGCTAATGGGAGACCCAGCGGCTCCAGGTGTTTGAATAAGACCGTACCCATGTCAGAGGGATAGGAAAACACTGAAGGAAATTGTGAATGGCTGGACTTGAGCACTTAGATTTGTTTTCTCCCCTAGAATTCCTCCAGTGCAGTTCTATTCCTTCTATAATGAAAACATTTTAAAGAGAGATCATGTTAAAAGGATGAAGTCCATTTTAGTGCCTATTTAATTATGGACCCCGGTGTAAGACAATTACAAAGATAAGTTGAAAACAGTAACTTTTTTCTTTGAGTCCCTTACTTCATTTTGCTAGGATATTTAAAGATATTTTGTCTCAGAAACATATAATTATAGTAAGAAGAAAGAAGCAAGCATAGAGCTTCGGAAACGTCATATTTGTCTTCAAGGCATCTGAAGCTATGTAGCCATTCAATTTTTAAAATGGCTGTGAAATTAGTGAAGAGAAGGCCCATATCATTGCAATGGCATCTCAGGCACAATAAAATGGAAAAAAAATGTTGAAGTCTGACAGGCTTGGGTTTGAATCCTGCATTAACTTGCCTTAGGCTGTATCCTCCAGAAGCCGGGCTTGAGATAAGGGTTTAGGGGAAAGGGCTTTATTAGGAAGGTTTCCAAGGAATATTTGTCTGGGAGTAGGGAAAATGGGCAGGGAAGGGAAGCCAAGCTGGGGTGCAGCCTCAAGGGGAGCTGGCTGAAGGTCATGTTGGCTTACTCGCTTGGGCTGATCTGGAGGCAGTGGGGGTCACACATGAGAGCTGTCCCCATTGGGGGCCGGGGAGCTGTAGTCCCAATGCCCTCACACCTGTCAGTCATTAGTTAAGGGCTGTCGCCCCGCCTTGCTGGTGGGGAGGTGGGGAGGCTTAAACTCCTGGCACTTGTGGTTTTCCATGTTCACCGGCAAAGTGAGCTCTGGTGTCCTGGGGCAGCCCTGGAACAAAGTCGCAGGTGCTGGCTGCTGAGAGTGGAGAACTCCATGGATTAGAGCACACAAAAATGGCCAAAGGATCTGGGGCAGTATGACATTACCTGTTTCATAACTCTCAGTAGCTGCATGACCATTCGCACCCAGCTTTGGGCTTTTGAACTTCTGTTTCCTCCTCTGTAGACTAGAAATGACAGTACACACACACACTCTCTCTCTCTTATAGATGGCTTTAGTGGATGAGACAGAGGGAGAGAGGGAAAGGGGGAGGGAGAAGGGAGGTGATTTTGTGCATCAGGCGGTGAGGGGAAAAGTTGAAGAGTAGGGGTTAGGTAGAACAAAGAAAAAGAAAGTCTGACAAAGAAATGGAGAGAAGAAACACTCATTTATTTATGTAACAACTATTTATTGAGTGCTCAGTATGTGCGGTGTACAATCTAGAAACAATGGGGGAAGAAGATTAAAGCCCATGCAATCACTATGTTGTCAAATGATGGGATCAAAGTTTCCAGTTTCCCTAGACCTTTGACCACTGGGTTTCTCCTCCTCCTCTGAGGTGGTGCATTATCCTTCTCAGCCTACCCTTGGAACTAGGTGGAAAACGCAAAGGTAACTTTGATTTTCTGCCCTGGGCCTTCCATCCTGGCCCCTCCATCTTTCCCAACCATCTTGATTCAGCATCTATTGGGTGCAGGGCACACACCTAGAGGGCTTCATAGTCTGCTGGGAGAGATGTGGCCATAACTAAGCATGGTTGTGCGATGGGGCACAGAGGTGCCTCCAGGAGGGTTCCTGAATGCCTGGAGCCCAGGGGTGGGCCAGGCTCCTGTGTCAGAGGCTGGGGAAAGCTTGACAAAAGAGGGACCTCATTAGGAATGAAAAAGCAGCTTTCTAGAGGGAAAATAGGAAGGTCTTCCAGGCTAATTGGTTAAGCAGCTACTACACAACACAACTAGCACTCATTAAAACTTGTTGAGCTGGGTAATTTTTAATTAGAGTTTTCAAAACAGCGTACAATGGGGGATGGATGAAGGGCTGGAAGAAGGATCTGTGTTATGTGGAAGTCCTTATTTTATGCTCTAAACAAAGGGTCCTAGGTGGATAGTGACCCCTTCTGGGACTTATTAAATAGTCCAATTAAGGTTCTAAAACTGAACACTGTTGGCGTCGCTTGGGATTTGGGCTCCTTTGGATCTAACATTAGATTACTAAGATGGATAAATATTGACAGTGGGCCATGGGACTAAGAAATAACATCACTGTGTTCAGAGTTTTGCATTTTATATTTGATTCTCACAACCCTAATCACTTGCATCTTGTGAACAAGGGCACTACATGTCCAAAGTCACCGAGCTATTAAGTAGCAGAGGTGGGCTAAAACCAGATCAGACCTACCTACCACCAAAAGCCATGCTCTTAACCACTGCTATTACCAGTGTTACTAACTAGTTACGGTGTCTAGGATATAAAATGTGTTCATTCAATCAGCAAGTAAATGCTGACGATCTATTCTGTGTACAAGACTCTGTTTGATGCAGAACTTGGCAACTGACTGGATGCAAGAGATCCAGGTGACAGAAGATAAAATGAAGGGACCACAGAGAGTGATAGGGCTGTTTGAAAAGGGTGATGATTTCAGAGATGGCACAAGAGTGAATTTGACTTCGGTTTTGATTTTGAGGGCAGGAAGGGGGAAGTGCAGGTGGAA